CTTTTTTAAAATCAATTTCATGCAAATACAACTCTTAATATTTTTATATCTTCCAAGAAATAAAGCATTAATAGTATTAATGATAATTGTTTTACAATGATAACTATGATATATATTCATCATATCATAATCTACTATAAATTAAGAATATATCTTAAGTAATAAAAATAATAAAGAAGTAATAAAAAATTGTTTTTTCTTCAATCTTTCATAATACATTTTACTTGCTCAAAACTTTCCCATTTTATATTATTTTTTATAATAACATAATTCCAACTTTTTTTCTAATCAATCTTCAATTTCAATTTTTTCAATTACCTATCAATCATGCTCTTTTTTTCAACTTTTTTTCTCTCATCTGACGATGTATCACTTATAATTTTTCTTTCTTAAATAAATCTTTTTTTTGATTCTTTTAATTGTTTCAATAATTTTTTTTCCACAACTTCTTGATTATTCTTATATTCTTGATTCTCTGTTTGTTATTTTATTTTTATTTTAGCTTTTTAATTTTTTCTTCCTCTTCTTCTATTTCTTGTTGAAAAATTCTACTCATTTCCTCTTTTAAAAATATCTACAAAATATTTTTCTTCTTTTATTGTTTCTATCGAATTTATCTGGCTTATCAAAACTTCTTTTCTCTTTTTAAAGAAGATGTCCTGGATACTTGCAATCTATACTTGTTACATATAATATTCATACATATTATCTCATTCATAATTTCGATAAATCAATTTACAAAAGCGATACATTATCGTATTATATTTCATTATTTTTATCAAAATAATGAAATAATTTGTGTTATCCGAAAGATATTTCAAGTTAAAGTATATTTCATGTACTACCGATAATACAGTCACAAGAATGATTCTTTTTTAGATTCGCGATGCACGCGTTCCGTTGACGCGACTAGAAAAGCGAGAATGGAGGGTGAATTAAGAATTGTGGTGAAATGGAGTGGAAAGGAATACGATATCCTCGATATTCAAGAGGAAGATACTGTTCTTACTTTAAAAGAGCGTATACACAGAGAAACAGGTGTTCGTCCAGAACGTCAGAAGCTATTAAATCTCAAATTTAAAGGTTATGTTTTGAACTGTCTTTTGACTGATATTCTTAATAAATGATTATTTATGTTTCATATATTTTAATAATTTTAATATTTTATTCTTTTATTTATAATTTATCGTCTTTGAAAAAGAATAGCTAAGTATTCTGTTATTAATTATTATATCCGATTATAATTGTTTAACTTGTACGTACTCTAATAATAATAATGTATTATTTATAATTCTTAAAATAATTTTTAATTTACAAAAATAAGCAAATTCTAGATAACAAATAAAATATACAAGTTATATGAAAATTATATAAGTACGCCAAATTTTTTAGTTTTTATACTGATTATTCTTATTGTCAAAAGTTGTCAAAAAAGTTGTCAAAAGTAATTAATATGACTAATTTAATATATGAAGTTTTTCAAAATAAAGTCAAAAGAAACTTGTTTTTTTTTTTATTAGGCAAAGCAGCGCAAGATGAGGATATAATTGGCAAGTTAAATTTGAAGCCTGGCTTCAAACTAATGTTAATGGGCTCGCGAGAAGAAGACATTGCAGAGGCAAGTCAAGCACCTGAAAATGTACCTGATGTGATTAACGATCTAGACATAGAGGAAGAGGAGGTGGAGATTGAAAAGGCTGAAATAAATCTACGTAAAATCCAGATACGAATCGATCGTTATGTAATCAAAGAACTGAATCCCCTAAGGGAGGGTAAGAAGCTCCTCGTGCTGGACATAGATTATACTTTGTTTGATCACAGATCAGTGGCAGAAAGCGGAGCGCAATTAATGCGCCCGTACCTTCACGAATTCTTGACGCGCGCTTATAAATATTACGATATAGTCATCTGGTCGGCAACTAGCATGAGGTGGATCAATGAGAAAATGAAATTACTGGGAGTCTCGAATCATCCGAATTATAAAATAGCCTTTCACTTGGACGTCCTTGCCATGATCACCGTTCATACACCGAAATATGGCGTTGTTGGAGTGAAGCCGCTGGGAATTATCTGGGGAAAGTATAAGCAGTTCTCCGCAAAAAATACAATAATGTTCGACGACATCAGACGAAATTTCATAATGAATCCGCAGTCAGGATTGAGGATAAAACCATTTAAACATGCTCATACTACCAGAGTCAAAGATTTCGAACTGCTGAAGCTATCAAGATATTTGGAATTAATAGCCGATGTAGATGATTTTCAAACTCTAAACCACAGAAAATGGGAAGAATACAAATCGAAGAAGAACGACCAAAGCAATGAACAGACTAGCAGTAATGAGAAAAGTTAAATTCTGATGGAATTAATTTTTCTTTCTGATACTTTGACGAAAATGGTCAATTGATGGAACGGAGCTGATATTGATTGATGGGAGGAATACATGATAATGATGATGATGAGAGATTGTATATGATGAAGTGCATGGATATGCATTTGTCAGTTGTTTTAAAATTATTGAAAAATGACTGAAAAAGCAAGGCTGTTCTATGTATGTTGGATGAGAATGACAAGATTAACAACAAAGCGGTAGTTCCTTTCACAAAAAAAGAACTTATACATCAGATTGATTTCTGAAAATACATATTTTCACATGTTTCTTATTCTATGTACTTGTGATGTATTTATCGGTCAGTACACGTATATAAGGGATCTATTTAAATAAACGCACGAATGCTCGACACGAGAGGTGCAACAATATAATGTATTTGAACAAATCCACGTGCTGCATCACGTATATATTCCCTGCATATACTGTTATCTACGCGTTTTGTTACACGCGAGTACAGACGTTGACAAACTTGAAATCTCACGCGACACGATATAAAACAATTTAACTTTTTACATGTGATCGCGCTACGTGGGTTTTACGCGGCATATTCCAGCCATTAACACGTAATATGCACCGATTATGCAGATCACGATATTTAACTCTTATACATTATATGATGGCGTTGGCGGATTTTATTTAGGAAATTAAACGATTTTTAAACGTTTAATAAGATACTGTTTCCATTTTTCAAGCCGATTTAAAATAAATTACAGTGTAAAATATGAAAAAGTTCATATAATAATTGTAATAAAGCTAATTTATCTGAAAATTTCAATGTCTACTTTATTGTCAAACGTATTATTCCAAGTGTGATTTCTTTGCTTTTAAAACTTGTATAAATAAGAATTTTCTATTTTCACAAGTTTAATTTATTGTGTTATTGAATTCTTTCCTACTTATCTATTTTCGTATATCTAACTAAAGAAGATTGAAGATATTTGAGATAATTATTTAGTGAAAAAAGTTGTACATATATATATAAAAAGATATGTAAAATTTATTATATATATATTTGAGAATATTGATATATATTTGAAATGAGAGATAAATAAACTCTCCTACATGTGAAATCTATTTTTATACTTAAGAAACACATTGTCTTTTTCTCGACGTTTAAAAAAGCATAGCGTTAAAAGAAAAAAATTATTAACAAATGTGCGAAACAAACATTGTGAGATCCCGCTTCAATTATTCATATACTACCAATCAGGTCAAGAACGACTCTACAATCATACGAATCGGGAAAGTGCTTCGTCGAAATATCGAGCGACTGGCTGCCTCGTCGTCATGCCTGTTGAGGAATAATAGAATTGATTCGCGTCTCAACTCTCTCTCTCTGCTGAGCAATCGCTCGTCGTCGTTGCCTTTTACATCGAAAAGCATAATCGACTGAGTCGCTGAGTGTTAGTCATTGAGCAACATGGCGAGCGCTCAATGGTGGTAGGTGGATATTTTGCACGACGCGGAAACGTCACACATGCTGTCCGTAGCTGTCAAACTCGTAGGGAAGCAGAAGAATGGAGCTGTTTCGTACTGACACTCATTTTATCTTTGTGAAAGAGAGGCACAGCCTCTGGTGCGACAAGTTTACCGGCGAATTCGCCGCGAAATCAGGTGGGTATGCGTATAATTCTGACATAAGTGAGTGCACACGAAGCGTCACTTTTGTTAAAAGTGATTTCGACACCGCGTGAGTTTCGAGGACGCGAATTATTAATTTCATTTCACGCGAAAACATGTGTGTATTATATTTTTATAAAAATGTATACGATCATAATGTTTCTGATACTTGATGAAAGAAGGTTTTATTCGAGATTTAATAGTAATATTTAATTATTTCGGTGAATGTGATTTGGATTTGATGATGGATTTTGCAGATTGGGAATGGGCCACGCCGAAGGACTTAGAATGCCTGGGAATGTTTTACGGAATAGTGGGAAAAATTGAACAGACATCGGTATTAGAGTCTCGCTTGATGCTCATAAAGGATGTCACGCCAGCGGGTGAATTGCACGGTGGTCACGTTGTTTACAAAATCAAATCCATTGCATTTTTACACTTTGGTATGGAGAATATGGATATTGGCTTGTTGCCTTGCAAGAAACATCAATATGTATTGAAGAAAAAAGGGAGCAGTGGATTGTTTGATGTGCCACAGAAAGCGGCTCTGGCAAAAACTTGGGGCACAATTAAGAATGCTACAAATACTATAAAAAATACCACGCAACATGCTGCAGCATTGGCTACATCACAGGTAAGGAAACTTAGAATTATTGATATTCATAAAATTTGTATTTAATGGCTCACATAATTTATAAACTCATTGTTTCTATAGATGAAGTCCACAGTTATAAAACGCAGCATTGTGAAGGATAAAGAGAGATTTGAGAAGAGAATATTGGAAGAGCTGAATAAGATATTTACTGAAACTGATTCATTCTTCTTCTGCCAAACTGGTGACATTACTAACAGCTTACAGCGACAATGTATAATAGAATCTCAACAAGGACAAGATTATAATCAGGATAAGCCATTGTGGCAACGTGTGGATGACAGATTCTTCTGGAACAAGCATATGTTACAGGATATTATTAATCTGAATGTTAACATACTTTTTATTTAATCTTCATTTTTATCTACAATTGACTCCAGATAATAAGTTGGTAGAGATTATGTCCATCAGAAGTATTTTATAATATTGCTATATAATTATATTAATTATATTAATTATATTAATTGCATGTAATGGTACATAAAATTATATAAAGACTATTGTTTCTTATTTATAATTCACATGCAGATTTATCATCTGAGGTCAATTGTATAACATCTAATCTATTTAAAATTGATATTTTATTATATTATACCTCATTTGCTTATATCTTATTCTGCAGACAGATAAAGCAAATTGCTGGATATTACCTATCATTCAAGGTTATGTCCAAATAGAGAAATGTATAGTTGAAGTAGGTTTTGATGAGCAGCCACAACAAGAGATATTTAATTTAGCAATTATATCAAGAAGAAGTAGGTTTCGTGCTGGAACTAGGTGAATTTTGATAAATAATGAGCTTAGATAATAATGCATGACACACGAATTTTATTCAAAGTTAAATATACTATGATTAGAAGAATGTTATTAAATATAATAATATTACACACAGATACAAGAGACGTGGAGTAGATGATGATGGCAAATGTGCAAATTATGTTGAAACTGAACAATTAGTGTGGTATCATGATCATCAAGTGTCTTTTGTACAAGTACGAGGAAGTGTGCCAGTGTATTGGTCTCAACCTGGGTATAAATATAAACCTCCACCACGGATTGATAAAGGTATGAGCAAAAGAATATTTTTTTACGCGAATAAGATTGGATTATTTTCAATATAATGATATCACAGATGAAGCTGAGACACAGATAGCATTTGAAAAGCATTTTGATGAAGAACTTACGTTGTACGGGCCTATTTGCATTGTTAATCTAGTAGAACAATCTGGCAAGGAAAGGATCATTTGGGAAACTTATAGTAACCATGTATTTAACTATAATAATCCAGATATAACGTACACTACTTTTGATTTTCACGAGTATTGGTAAGTATCTAAGTAAATAAATATAATTGCTTACTCTCATGCTTCTCATTCTCATTATGAATCACATTTAAAAAATTTTGTATTTAACACAGTCGAGGAATGCATTTCGAGAATGTATCTATTCTGGTTAATGCATTAGCTACAATGCTAGCAGATATGGGTTACTGCTGGCGCGATAAACAAGGTACGATTTGCATGCAAAAGGGTGTATTTCGTGTAAATTGCATAGATTGCTTAGATAGAACAAACGTGGTGCAAACCGCGCTGGGTAAAGCTGTTATGGAAATGCAGTTTTCAAAACTGGGGCTAATACCACCTGATGGTACTCTGCCTGCAAATATAAGGCAAACTTTTCAATCGCTTTGGGCTAATAATGGAGATATTATTAGCAAGCAATATGCAGGAACAAATGCTTTAAAGGTCTGTACATCTCAAATTGCTCATGCAGTCTGTTTTAAATTATTTTAAAAATTATTAATTTTATTTTTAATAATTTCTTTACGATTTATTTCTATTTATAGGGAGATTATACACGTACTGGGGAGAGAAAATTTACTGGACTGATGAAAGATGGCATGAATTCCGCAAATAGGTAGAATTTTGCATGTTCTATCTTACACATTTTTTATTTGTTTAATTTTCCTCACTTCCTATTTTTTCTCAATTATTTCCAACATCTCACATAACACAGACTTCTACTTCTACTTAATTTCGAAGATGATATCCCAGAGTTAAATATTTAAATCTTGTTCTATAGAACCCTTACATTATCCTTTCATTTTCCCATAGATATTATCAACAACACTTTACGGATGACTTACGTCAGGCGGCGATAGATACGCTGCTAGGAAACTCGATTGACGTTCACCAACTGAATAATGATTGGTCACACTATTTAGATATCCTTGATAATTGCTGTCTTGAACTTATACCTATGAAACCACCAAATATACAACTTCAACTTGCTACTCATCCTGACTTCCTTTATGCCACTGCTCTATATAATTTAGCAAGGTTCGTTGCTTGCTTTTAGCTTAATTTTTGAAAAATATACAAGAAATATGTATCTTTGAGAATTAATTTAATTATTGGTTACTTGATTATATGTTAAATTATGTGGCGTAAAAAGAGATGCTTTATTATGCTACTGTCAGCATGAGAAGTTGTTTTTATTATGTTATGAAAATCCTTCTGCATGTTTAATCTTGACCTTCTATTTTTCTTTTATTTGGTTAAACATTTTAATTTGGTCCATATACATATAAAGAAAAATCATTTTAAATACTACAATTAAATATAAGATAAATTGTTTTCTCTACTTTAAATAATTTATTTCACAAAGCATGATTTATTAAATTCTCTTGAATAGAACACTTTTTTAATAAGTACTTTGTCTCTGAATCATTTTTTAATTTCGAACATGTTAGTTATGCAATTAGAAAATGCAATTAAAATGTTTTTGCAGATACTATTTGAATCGCTTTAAGGATGTTTATAGACAAGCAACGATTGATATGATGTTGGGAAATTCGGTGAGCGAGGAAATGTTCCTAGAACGTACAGATGAAGAAGATAATGCAGCGACTGCAATTCATGTGAAATTGCTGATTGAAGATTGTAAAAATTATTAATACCTGATCCGGAAATCATTTTAGGCAGTTGGGGAGTTATCGATGCTGATCCTGTGTATGTATGAATAATCAAATTTTACATAATACATTCATATTGTACACTTGCATGTGTGTGTATGTATATGTATGTATATATATATATATATATATATATATATATATATATATATATATATATATATATAAAACTTTTTTAATTAAATTTTAATTTTACTTAGTACTGGTGATCCAACAGAGACGGAAATGGATACTATTTTGATATTAACTCGAGATAGTTATTATATTGCCGACTATGATGATCAAATTGATAAAGTTACAAACTATCAACGAGTCTTATTAGATGACATCGTATTAATTGAATTTGGTCAACCTGAAAATATGGTCTCATTCTTAAAAAATAAACATTATCATTGTATTAGAATCAATTATAAGGTAAATGGCGAGTACGGTTACTTTCATATGTTTCGTAGTACAAATTTAAGGTTTTTCAATAATATGGCGGTTGTGATCAAAACCGAAGAGGAAAGTATAGGTGAGAAAATATATTCTTTATTTATAATATATGTACATTATAATAATTTTGTACAAACTTTACGTTCCATATTTTTAAAATGCAGAATCTTTAAAGGCGATTTGTGAAGCAATTTCAGTAGCTATGGAAATAGCAAATTTGCCAAAAGTTCCCATAGCTATGAATGTTACATTAGATAAAAGAAAGAGTAAATTAGTAAATGTTAAGGGTTCTACTGGATTATTGGATATCTCATCATTTCCAGAATTGACAAGAAATGTATCTGAGACACAGCTGCTTGCTCTGAAAACAGCAGGTTTGTTTTTAAATAATTTCCATTATTTTTTACACACACACACACACACACACACACACACACACTATATATATATATATATATATATATATATATATATATAATGCACAAATGTTCACAAAAATAACTATCTTTAGGTACAAAAGCTTTAAGCAATATGTCGGAGCAATTTAGCAAATTAAACAAACTGAGTCAGACTTTCAGCGCAAAGAAACCAATTGATTTAGCGAAGAGTATAAGTAATAGAAAAACAGAAAAATTATCGAAGCCGATCTTTACTGTTGGCAACAGAGATATCTCAGGCAATGTAAAAGAGAAAAGTAACAGTAGTAGCGGTAGCAGCAGCGATGACGAAAATATCGAAATGACATATATGCACATCGAGAAACCAGCAAACTTCAGTCATGACAAGAATTTGATGGAAGCTTATACTCCACTGATTGGTATTATTATGGGTGTGAAAAATACTAATGTTGTAGATGGCAGTGTTTGTGATACCAGCGTAAATGAGGAATTATCTACAATGAGACATAAAGACGTGAATTTAAATTCGAAACCCGATATAGCTATCGACGCATTGCATCTGATTCCGCAAACTGGATCTGGTACTAGCACTCTCAGTGCTTCGCCGCAGAAAACTACGGCGACTACACCGGAGATAACAGTTTACGATGTAGGAGATAATTTAGGCGAGGAAAGAGAACGAATGATGCCATTATCTACCTTAACATTTTCTAAAAATATCAGTCATTCGACAGGAGATGTTGATAATAAAACGTTATCGACCAGCATTAAGAATACTACTCTTCAAACAGACAACAGGTTGGATGAGAAAAAGAGATCAGCTTCTGATCAGAACTTGACGCTGAATATTACATCATCTCAAAGCGAATCTGCCTTAAAATCTATAAAGGAAAATATCGCAAGTGTTACTAGTCCAGTAGCATCCACAGCCAAAGATATTCTATTGCCGTTTTCAAAATTTGCGAAAGGTGTTCAAACATTAGGAGCTAATTTAGATCCCAGGAAGCTGAAAACAGGCCACGTAATGCGAAATTTGTCAGAACATCATATGGAAGAGCGTCAAAAACTTCAAGAAAAATGGGCTTCTTGCCAGTCTAAACTTATTGCTTTATAAATTTTGATCACCCGAATATCAGCTTTCTGAATGTGATCCATTAAATATCAATTTGGAGCTTATTGATGAATGTGTGCTCGTAAATATTAACAATATTTGCGAATATTAGTATTTACGTAAATATTATTATATTAATATTTACGAATATAAAATGTATTAGAAATGCAGTATATCAGCGACATAAATGCTCTCACGCAAAAAAAAAAGAATAAAGTATTAAAGCGTTGTATTATAGACAATTTTATTATATATAGATTGCATAATTTAATATGAAAAAATATCACATAGAAAATAGCAAGTTTCGACTATACGTTTTGTAGAAAATCTTATAAATCGATCTCACTGCACCTATTTTTATGTATTTTCCACTCCACGTATATAGCATTATTGATGTGAAACATACAAGACACTTTCTATAGAAAAAAGCTGTTTCTATATTATAACAAAACAAAGCTACAATTAACGCAGAGTACAATGTGGTCAATATTTATTCGTAATTAATTTATTTGAAAAATTAACATTCAATATAAAAAAATACAATTGACAGGTGAAGAATTTCTGTATTGCTATAGATTGTGCTGTTTTTTTAGAACTATTTTTTTGACAAGCCAACATCTATACAAAATATTTATTGTACATTTGCTAAATTTTTGGGATATATTTTTACATTTTTAATGGCGATTTTCTGAGACTAATCT